TACCGTATTCCATACTTTTTGTAAGCTTTCTTTGAAACACGGTTAATCCGCAATGACGTAAACTGAAAGTTTCTACCGTACTCCTACAGTAATGGAAAGCGATCGGTGATTCGCTCCAATATTGTACAACTAACAAGGGAACCGTGTCGAGTCGAAGTGGCCTTTCCAGATGAGACCCATACTGCCTTGAAGAGCATTAATCGGTGATTCCAAATCTGCTTTCCAAATCTGCCAAGCGCCTCTGGACGCCGAGTTATGCTCGTTTTTCAGGTCAAAAAATTGAACGCAAAACTGAAGCAAAGTCGCCCAAATTTGCTTGAATGCCTCAATGTCAGGTATCAGAGCTGTTTATACAATGGATACATTTTATTCAATATGCTAATACTTAACATTGCTTTATCCGAGCGGTGGAAAGATTGTAACAATCAATTTTACCTAAATTCTGCATTCATTTTTCGTTCCGAAGAACTCGGCGTCCAGAGGCGCTTGCCAGATTTGGAAGGCAGATTTGGAATTACCGTTCAATACCCTTCAAAGCAGTATGAGTCTCATCTGGAAAGGCCACTTCGACTTGACACGGTTTCCTTGTAGATTAAAGCCAGCTCTACAAAATGGTACCTGAAGTTAGGCAAAAGACTTCTTTGAAAGAGAGATATCAAGTGTCAAACAGTGTATACATACTTTTGGGACACCCTGTGGATGGACAGACAAACAGACATCCAGCTTTATGTATACGTATCCGAGTGTATTTGTTTTATATTCTCTCAAACAGTATGAAAAGTAAGTGAGACAAGAATAGAATATAAGAGGCGTTGCTAACCGGTGGGATTGAGGTTTGAGCCCACCCTGAGCCAAGCAGAAACTGTTAACGGATTGAGGTCGGAGGTCAAAAGGGACTTTTAACAAAACCCTGCAAAATCGGAGGAGTCGTTTGAAAAATTCACGGTGCCAGCTGGTGCCGAGCCCTGCTCTCTTGGTCGACTAACATTGGCAGGATGACGAGGTTTTCGACGTTGCTCAAGTTTTTTTACGGCTAACTATTACGAGAAGCGGTCACACCATACTTCAATATCCCTCAAAATTATATATACCCAGTCCATGCGGCGTCATCCAGCTTGTTCTTTAGGCTGAACTTTATCCACTGCCGTTCATGATAATTTTAGGTTGAACTTGTTATGCCCATCCAGCACGTAAGAGCCGTAGCTTGGGAGATCCGCCTATCTTTTCCTATCCTGTTATGCCGTCATTTGCGCGCGCAAAGTGCCTGCATTATAATACCTATGCGTTCACGCGCAAAGGTCACCGCATTTTCTTGTCACTACAAGCATACTATCGAAGCGGAAAGTCTATTCAACTGTAAAAGCACCATTTTTCTCCTAAAGTCACTGAGTCTAAGCATGCAAAGGATTTCTTGACCAAAGGATCCCCTATTGTGTTTGCCTTACTGAAGCGCTTATGCACATATATACCGCCTAAAAGGAAAAGGGATTTGAGAGAAGTTAGGTAATACTACTCTAGCTGCCTGTATTACTCTTAATCCATATTGTAAAAGTTCTCATACCTTAATACTCGAGTGTAATGAATAACAGAAGAGTGCCATACAAGCTGACATTTTCAATGTTTTGTGTGTCACCTTTCATTTAGTCGTATATCATTAAGTAAACGCGATAAAATCGTCTTAAAGTTTACTTAGGAGCTATCACGATATGCTAGGCATGTTGTAGTAGAAATAATATATGAAATTATCGAGATATCCCATCAATGTTCACGGTATATGAGTTGAGTTTCATCCAAAAGTTCACAACCTGCACAATCCATTAGACTGACCGAAAACCCTAGTAGTGTCTTAGTATTAGGTTGAACACCAAGTTTTGCAACTGGTCTCATAACTTCCCTCTCACTCAACATGGTGCACTCAAATTTTGTCACTGTGTTGGCTATTACGGAAGCTACAAGAGCAGCTGCTGTTCTACCAAATTCTGACGTCGCCGTGAGGGTTACGGTAGGTGTATGGTATGAAGGGGAAAAGTTCAAAGTTTGACGTATTTGGCTGAAACTTGGCATAGGGATGTTATCCGACATGCTCATCACGAAAACGATAGTGAAATTCCGTGATAAGGGCTTTTTTGTAAAATTACTGTAGGTGTGCGATATGGGGTCTCACCCTAAACAAGAAAAATGGCGTCGATTCAACAAATGAACATGATATTCGCGTTCGGCAGGTCAATAACTTTATTATGTGAAATCTCGGCGAAATTTGAGCTTCGGACTCTTTAGTCATTGACGGTCGTCCCCAGCAGCTCTTGCGTACATCGACTTGTTCGACTTTGTAGGACGCCAAATCTCGACATGCCCCTGAATTTTGTTTCTTACTTAGGTCAAAGGAGTCAATCTCCAGCAATAATTTGTAGACGAATCCGGATTACTGCGCATGGTATAGGCTGCTAAAGGCTTCATTTTAGTTTGAAACCCCAAAAATTCTCAAATTTCACTAGTTTTCGAAAAATGCGGAACTTTTCTATTCCGTGTTCAAAATTTAGACAATTTTTGCTCACTTGTAGCTCTCATGGCATTCTACATAATGCCGAAGTTTGAATGCGCCATGTTGAATGAGAGTGAAATTATGAAACCAGTTGCAAAACTTAGTGTTCAACCTAATAAATCCTCAGTACAACTCTACAACGTTTTCATCAAGTTCCTTAACAGATAGACGGCTTTGAAAGCAAGGGGTGCTTACTTGGGATCCCCAGGGAAACACACGAGATAGTACAAGTCTCAGCTTGTATGGCAATGATCTGTCATCCATTATGCTCAACTGTCAAGGTATGGGAACCTTTATAAGATTAATGGGAAAAGAAGAATACGGATATTTAGGGAAATTATGATTTATTCCCCTTTCATCCCCTTCCCTGCCCAGCGGACTGTAGTTGCGTACAGGCTAAGAGGACCTTTCGGGGAAGCATCGTATGCCGGAGAAATTGCGCCTTGTATCGTGAAATCGGGTATATTTGGAGTATTTTTCACTGTTGGCTTTATCATAAGGGTCATTATGCCCATCTTGCTTCTATCTGCGCAGCATACTTTTCAGAAGAAATTCACATGTCGCAATTAGTCACGATCAGCACCGCAAGTAGTACTGAGTGTGAAAAGTGCGCGCTTCAACAATCGTCTTTGCTAGACTGATTGCATTCGCCATGAAAGCAGGATTTCCAGGTTAAGAGAATTGGAGGACGTGCGTTATACTACAAAGAACTCGCCGCCATAGTCGGCACGCGCGCCGAGCTGGCTTACGGTAGTTCGCACCCACTTTGCACCGGTGAGCGTGAGCCACGAGGCAATCGCGCGACCGCAGCCTCGCCGCGTCGCGACTCGCCCGCCATGTCGGCAATTCTATAAAATTTACATGAAGATACGCGGAAAATCGCTTTTTTAGATCTTAACGTGCGGTATCGTTTGTCGCACCGAGATAAAATGGAACTTTGAAAAAACCCGTTAGTTTTCTATTTTTATCCTTCATGTTCATTTCATTTCCAAATAAAAACGAAAGACTCGTTTGACTCCAAAACTCCACAGTGTCTTCAAATTTTTTTTTCGTTCCACGTGTTTTTGCCATAATATAGCTGTTTGATTGTCATTGCAAGCTGTGACCTGTGGCTTAGACTGCAAGTTGAGATTGTTACCCTTTGGCAATGGTAACCTCCGGACCTAATTACTAGGACAAAAGAAGACCTCTGATAACGAAACTCGTATAATGCAGAACCATTTTGATTCTCAACATTATACATGTTCAAATAATGCCTCACACTCCTTTTTTCTTTTATTTTTCAAACGCGGGCACTCAGAAAAGATGAAATTTGGTAAGAGGTTTTCGTTCCAATAATCCTTTGTTTACAAAAAAGAAAATGAACCGGTTTTCTTCTGTTTAACACCTTATCGCGAGGCGGACGAGCACGTTAAAATCTGAAAAAACAATCTTTTCCTTGTTTTAACGTAACTATTTATGAAATTCGCGACGTCACGCGCGACGTCGCGACGCGAGGAAGCAGGCGAGTCTGCGGTCGCGCGACTGTCTCATGGACCAGGCTCACCGGTGCAAAATGGGTGCGGAATGCCGTACGCCAGCGCCAGCGCTCGGCGCGCGTGCCGACTATGGCGGCGAGCTTTGGCGGCAAGGGCTTTTTGTGCTATAACACCACGCCGCCAGAGAATTTCATTGTGTCAGCAGTATTGCAAGACCACGCAGACTTCCAATCCAAAATCAAAAGATTGGTTCAATTTTGTCCCGGCTACATACCGCTAATGACAGCTGCTCAGTCCGCTCCATGACCGTCTCCCCGCTGTGTTATCATAAGGGTCTCACAACGGCTTTGCGTCTCAGCCTTAGAGGGAATGCGTGGTTTCGTCCGTATTCAGCACTGAGAGCTACATTGCATGATTTCGCCGCTTTTGCGTTTTCACTGACTTCGCCCGGATGCCTTCAAGTCTCCGCTACTGGCCACCATTGCTATTCTCGCTCAGTCTCAATGCTCTGCAACTACTGAATCGTTCGCGTCTTCTACGCAATGCTGTGCTTACTCTGCTCATTTCAATTGCATCTCGTAAATCATTCTTCCATTTTATTCCACTGACACGAAATTTTTCGATGTCCATCTAATTCAATTCGTTTGAATGCCTCAAGAGAAATGGTGAAAGAGAAGACAAAAAAGCGTCCGATAACATGACTTTGTCTTTAGACTTAGGACCGAAAATTGTGAAGGCTATCGTGTGTATGAAATCTTAAGCTCCATGTCATCGAAAGTGCCACACTGTGTCAAGTCTGAAACCACCGTCTCTCTTTTATGATAGCTCTGCTTTCACTTCCTTCTGCCGTCTTTTTAACCAGCTTTTCGAAACAAAAACCACTGGCAAAATGGCAAAATTACAAGGAATAGAATTTTGCGTCGTGATCTGGTCTTTTGATTAGTGCCAAATTGTTCGTTGTTCATCTATATTATTTCAGAATGTGGTTAGAACTCTTTCTTTCTCTAGCTTTGGTTTTGAAAGCTCTAACATATGAATGTCCACATAGTCATTATTTGTTTGATGACAGGTATACATACTTTTGCCTAGTTAACAGTTGTATTCTAGCAATAAGCACCTACCTTTAGATGTTTCGCATTTGTTGACGGTAAAGGTACTCAGAAGGAAGGAAGAAAGCAATGCTTAGAAATAGGATACGAGTTGGTTTCAATACATGACATGATAAATAACAGATACGCTCAACGTGAGAAAAACTGTTTTCTTACTTCAATTTTGGATCAAAAGAGACTATTTTGAGAATTGGCTCAAGCTGTTCTTTCCTTCACGTATGGAAACATTTGGATTGGACTTCACAAAGAAAATGAAATTTGGAAATGGCTCGACAATTCTACGTACGATTTCATGAATTGGGGACGAGGTAAGTTTGTTGAAAGTACTCTTCCTATTACTTCTGAACATTATTGTCACAAGGTATCAATCCTGCGCACCAGTGCGCTGTTATGCGCATTTCTGACGGAAAATGGCTGAGTGCCGATTGTGAGATGCCGTGAGTGCATAAAAGAGAAGGGAACTGAAGCAGTAGTTGCAAACCTCAACAGTTTTCATTTGAGTTAGCCAAACAAAAAGTAAACTCCTTAAATAATTCAAGCTGTTTTTGTTTTCCCAATGAACTTAGGGTGTCATTCGATAGAGCAGGTCAAGCTCTACAAAACAGCTACCAAGGATCACCTAAGCCGCATTTCGTGAAAAGTATGAAGCCAAAATTGGAAAAAAATTTGTCACCTGAAAATAGGATTTCTGCGATAGAGAATTTTACTGACCTCCAACTTGATCATTATATAGTAGGCACATAGTAGTACTCAAATATGCCTTTACCGAATTTTTTCCAAGCATAGAAAGCGAGAAACAAAAATTGACCGAAAATGGCAAACTCCGCCCACAGTCCCTCCCACATATTTCATTGTATACTACAAGCCTTACTGAGTTTAATTTCAAAAACTCACTCCCTGTATGTGCCCTTATATTCGAGAAATACCAATGTTTACTTAAAAAACCCGAAAGTGGCATTTTGGCATTTTCGAACCATCTTTTTTCTCAATTTTGAGCCTCGAAAAAAATCCGCCAAATACATTTTTGGGTACTACTATATGTCTACCACATGAAAACCAACTTGGAAGTCCGTAGGAATTCTCTGGAAGGAGATCCGATTTTTAGGGTAGCTGAAAAACCTTGATTTTCGGCCACAAATTTTATCTGGATTCGATTTAGGAGGGCCTTTGGTGGTCTTTTTGTAAAGCTTGCTCTGCTTTATCAGATGGTACTTTAAGTCTGTTAGGAAAACAAGAACAGCTCAATCTATTTGAAAATGGAGTTTACTTTTGAGACAACCTGATAGAACTCTGATGCTGTATATTATTATTATTTATATATTGTTTGTATATTCCAGAACCTGAATGAGTGATATTCAGGTACCAAGCATTGTGTTCTGGATTCGCATTTGAACCGACAACTGCTCACACAGGTATGCTCCTAGTTCTCTAATAAGCATTCGCCATTTTGTAAATCTCGGGTAACATCTCGGTGGCCCGTAGTAAAGGATCAGTTCAGGTGAACTGAACTTAACCCATCAGTTGAGCTTACGTCAGGTGAAGTGATGACCGCCCACCTTCCCATGCTATAAGCATGGCAAGTGAACTGACTGTTGGCTATCCGTCCACCTGCTACAGTCAACTGTTGCACATCAGTTCACGTTCAGGTGAGCTGAACGTGAACTGATGTTAGAGAGTGCAAATAGTGTGGAAAAGAGGAGACGTAAAGAAGTCTCCCGTAAGTTGCACCTGAGTGACTTACGATACACATCAGCTTGCCTACACTGCAGACAAAATCGACACAAAACTGCGTGATACCGCGGCCCGAAAATAAGAGAATCGGTAAACAGCTGATTTTGGCGTGAAAAGAGAAAAAACATCTTTTCTTTTTTGTAAAGTTTGCTGATTTTTCTGAAAAGCTACTTATGACAAGAATTTATTGATTTAATTTACTGAGTTCATGTTGCAACCATTTCATTTTTTTTATGAAATTTTCGCCAAAAAAGCGTTTTTGTTTCACCTATGCATGAGCTAGGCGCAATCCTTGATAGCGGTCATCATCAATGCGATACAGCAAAAGTGTGGCTCTAGCCGGTGTTGAACCATGGCCCCGCGCGTTTATTTCCAGTCGCTTACCTGTTCGACCAAACCAGCTTAAGCATTTCTTTTTTCAAGAACGCAGAATGTCGTGATTAGAAAGCGATTCGCATTCGGATCAATAGCTCACTGGATGCTGGACTGAGGCGTCCTACGTCAGCGTAGGCCCGCACCAGTCGAGTTGCACTGATGGGGGTTCACTACGGGCCATTCTTATAATAAACAGATATACTTTGAAAATGCTGAATAATGATTTGACTCTGAGGAAAGTGACGTTCACAAAAAAAACACAAAAAAAGTCACCTAGTCTTATATGCACCGGTAATTTTCGACCTCTCTATTTTTCACAGCTTCTATGTGATAAAGGTGCTGATAAGAAGAGTTGCTAGGTTTATATGACTCAACGCCCCAAAAGCCTCGCGAAGTTTTAAGAAGCTTTCATACATAATCGGCTTGCAAAACGAGATGCCATGGGCAAATCATGAAGTGAGCGAACAGGGCCCGGCACAGACCGTCTGCAAGCAGGCTGGACTTCGTTTTTGGAGCGAAAAACAAAAGAGACATTGTTTCTAACGAGTCGAATCCAAGCGCCAAGAATAAACGTCATTTAGTCGAACACAAGCTTTTCGGACAGGTTATCACACGATTGACATGCTCTATCGCGTATAACGAAAAGTGCGCGCGATTTGAAAACAAGGCTAAAATAAAACAAATAGCTTGTTTACAGCGCACAAAGAATCATATGACACCAAACTTGAACTATACACATAGAAAATTATTTGCTGAAGAACTATGTAAAAAGATTTAACTTATGTGAAGTAATACCTTTTTTAAAATTTAGTCCGTCTCCAGACGGTCACTAGACGATCTGAGATCGTCTAGAGCATATATTTTTGTCACTTCCCATAAGTTTTGGAATTTTCTATCATGGACGGGTTCCCTGGTCAAGAAACTACCCCCGAGCATGAAGACATTTTCATATCATTGCCTCTCCTTTGTTTTTTGCCGCAATTTCTTCGTAAATCGCTTTGTTAAATATCATGATCCAATGCCAAACTCTTGTGCATGCATAGTATTCAGCTCTTATTTGGATTTTCACTCTTATCTCACGTTTTTTCTTTCAGACCAGTAATTCTTTCTTGTTTTCGTCTTCCCCTTTAGTAGGTAAGTCAAAGGGAACTACGTAATAATTTCGAAAGTCAGGGGAGACTTCTTTTGAGAAACTCTAGAAACCGACTCGTGCCGGTCCCTGTGAGGGAATACTAGGATGGAAGTTAGGATGACCTGAGGTTGCTCGTGTTAGCGTCATGCCAAAGGTTACCAGCGCAGTGAGATCTGACACGGCGCAGACCCGGTACACTGGATTCTGCCTTATGGCCTTATGAGAAAAGTTGCAGACGGAGTATCTCAGTCATTGAACAAATAAGTATTTTTGTGTCTGCATCACTGATTGATCTACATGCCAGTTGAAGCCACTCGAACAAAGGGACAAGCACGAACTTTTTTCTTGTACTGAGTGATACACGTACAGGGAGAAACGTAGAAAGACAGGGAGAAATGTAGAAGGCACTAAGTATGAAAATTGAGTTAGAATCTATATGACTGTTTCTAGCGTATACAACTTACCATGTCCTCCTGACGCATGTGATGGGCCTCCTACGACCGTGTAGGGAGACTTTTCATCACAAATTCTCTCCCCCCCCCCCCCCCCCCCCCAGCCCACTTCAATGTACTAGGTGGAAGCCGCAGGGGAGGATTTGTGATGAAAAGTCTCCCCCACGGGCATACGTCATAGGAGGCTTTAAACCCCCACATATTGTAAGAAGAATCTAACCTATAAAGTTAAAGTCGCAACATGATTCATGCAGTTTTTAAGAAGTTATGAGCTGTTAGAGCCCAAAAAGCGCTTTTTTACCTGCTTCTTCAAGACTCTGGATCTCGGCGCTGTTTCAATGGATCGGTACGGCTACGATATATTCTGATAAGGCAGGCCTTACTCTACAAAACTTATGAAGTCTCAACATCACACACTCTTACATTCAAGATTTATATGAGTTTAACTGTCAGCTGTCACTAAACACGCTAAAATGGCGTAATTCTTTAGAATTCTGGTTTTCGGCGACTATTTCTCAAATCGACCGTTATATCACTATCTGATAGAGCAGCGCTTACTCTTGAAAACCTATAAAGTAGCATTTGCTGAAATCTTCATACATCAGATTTATAACAGTGGAAATTTCGCATGATTTTTCACTATTCAATTATTCCAAATTCTGGTTCTTGGCGGTTACTCCCTGAATCGATCTGCTTTCTTCGCTGTACGTTATAACAAAGCTTACTTAATGAAAACCGTACAGTTTCGTTGAGTTTCACTTTTGAATACACCATTTACTAAACACGTTTATTTTGAATATATATGCCGCCGTATACACAAAAATATGCTCTCAATAATCTTTTTTGCGTGTGTTTTACTTATTTTCCTTCTTTATCGTTCAGCGAAAAAATTTTTATTGCAAAAGTGAAGGTGGTCACCCTGTACCAGCTTAAAAGTGAAGGTAGGGGGAGAACCGGCTCCCACCATCCCACCTTTGGTTCATTCGCACAAAAATATCACAACGGAAGACTATACTTAGCTGTACTGGTTTTCATTTGACATGTGTAATGTTTCATAGCGCAGAACAATGATTTCAAATCTGCTTTACAAATCTGCAAAGCGCTATTAAGATGGGATATTGCGCCTTCGCCATGCAGTAGCCTAATTATACTTGCATTAAGCTCCCTGGCAGTAATCATGACCCCATTTGAGCTCACAGACTACGTTCTGGATGATTTTATTGTAATCGCTCGTTCAAATAACTTCCTTCTCAAAAGCGCTCTTCGCAGATACCGAAGAAACAGATTCGGAATTAGCGTTCCATGCTCCTCTAAAATAAAATAAACATTTTATTTGTAAACGCCACGTTAAACAATCGTCCTTTCCTTGTAAGGAAATCCCTTTGTCCGAAGGCTAGGTGGAAGCAACGTAGACGAGCTGTATTGCTTTACCTTACTTTGGCCAAAGGGTCAGACGTCAAGAAGAGCATCGATGGGAGGACGTGCTGAACGTGACAAGAAATTATCAAGTCGTCCGGAGCGCCAAATCGCGTTTAATTCAGTATAACTTTTCTCGACTATGGGAGGTGCCTGCGGAATGCTTGCTTCTTACAATAAAATTTATTCATCTTCATAATTTTTGATTTCCTTCATTGTCTCTTTCGATTTTGTGCAGACTTTAATCAAAGGTGCTGAGAGAGTTAGTATAGAAGAATGAGATAAGGGGGAAAGGTTCTAATCGAGCATAAAAATGACAGCGAGAAGTGGAAGGATTAAGAAATGTTATGCAGCAGTGAGATTGAACGTTGAGCTCGATCACCGTATATTGACATAGGTAAGTCGAGGACGGCCAAAACTTGTATATCAAGAAGTATCTGGAAGTCACAAAAGAGAATTTGAAAATCAATTATAATTTTGACACTTCATTTTTTATAGAAAGTCATCTTGAATTTTGCGCAAATCTAAGCCACAAGCGTACTTAATTTTGAAATCCTCAATCAGTTTCCTTGGCGATTGGCCATTTGCTACTAAACTTCTTCCATAATTGACCGTTTGCTCCCAACCAATTTCTGCCGCATTACAAGAGCGTCTTCGGTTGGGGAAAAGATTCTCATATGTGATTAGGTTAAAATGGATACGGTGCTGCATTGCTGACTGCTCGCGATATTATAACTATGCTGGACGTTCAAGTATATTTTAGGCTGGCTGGATTTCTGTCGATTCCAACCTTTTTGAAGACACGTTACAGACAGATATGTACATGTTAATGTTTTTGAAAGAGTAAAGCAGAGAGTTGGATGATTAACCGTGTCTGAGCAGAAGCCTTTTTTCAATACGAAATAGTGGAAGAAAGAAAAATAGCCAGATCGGTTTTTATCAAGTTGTGAAAACATACTCAAAAAGAGTTAAGATTTAGAAAATGTGCGAATGTTAGGAGGAGAGTTGGATGATCAACTATATTAACCGGACACAAGATTCTTACATTTTAAGCAATTTGCATGGCCATAGAGGTCAAACTGCAGTGATCTGGGCTGCCCACAATTTGACATCCATGCGCGAATGTCTGAAAATTTCCACATGTTTGAGTGTTGAGATTAAGAACAACGGGATGTGCTTTGAAGTCCGCAATGTAGCCAATTGTCTTGCGTATCTAAACAGCTAATCATTCGTCTGAGCACTTACAACAGCTTGAAAGCGAATCTTAGAAAGTCAAGAGGGAAATTTCTAGAAGTTTAGCTATATAGGAATAGTTGCTCTGCTTTTATCTTATATATAAAGCTGAATGTCTGTTTGTCTGTCTGTCTGTCTGTCTGTCTGTCTGTACGTATGTTCCGAATAGAAAATTCCATTTCTGAACCGATCGGGACCAAACTTGGCACACATACACTTCGGGCCCCGGCGGGTGTCATAGGCTACTTTTCGTATCGATCCATATCGATTCTATCGATTTTTTGCAAAATTTGAGCTACGGGGCTGGAAGTTGGCACAGGGGGGTAAGTGAGCATGGGGATTCCGAATACAATATTAGTTTTTAAAATCGTGCATTACTTTTATCGATTTTATCGATTTTTTTGCAAAGTTTGAGCTAGGGGGCTGGAATTTGGCAGAGGGGTGTAATCGAGCATGCTGATCACCCCCACGGGGGTGATCAGCATGCTCGATTACCCCCCCCCCCCTGTGCCAAATCCCAGCCCTGTAGCTCAAATTTTGCAAAAAATCGATAAAATCGATAAAAGTAATGCACGATTTCGAAAACTAATATTGTATTCGTAATCAGATGCTCACTTACCCCCCAGTGCCAACTCTCAGCCCCGTAGCTCAAATTTTGCAAAAAATCGATAAAATCGACATCGATCGATAACGAAAAGTGGACTGTGACACCCGCCGGGGCCCGAAGTGTATGTGTGCCAAGTTTGGTCCGGATCGGTTAAGAAATGGAATTTTCTATTGGGAACATACGGCGGAGCCGGGTAAGCCAGCTAGTTATTAATAGGAAATTTTATCAATGTGTAGCTGATAGTAGAGGTTTGAAACTACCTCCTTATAAAAAAGCCTAAACTAGATGAAAGTTAATTTTTAGGGATTTTCGAATTTGCGTGTAACCTGGAATTATTTGTTAGGCAAACTATTTTCAATATGCAGATCGAATCTACAGTCTGCTCCAATTCGGACCAGGCCAAATCGTTAACGTAAATTTGCGCGCTCGCAGCGCTAAGCGTTTGCGCTGCATATGCGCGCTATCGGAGAGAGCCAAAGGATTGGAGAGAGAGCAGAGAAACAGGCCGTGGGCGTGACCGCGAAACCCCAGCGACGCGGACTCCCGCCATGCCAATTTTAGCCTGGTTGGGATTGGGGCAGACTATACTTAGATAAACAAGGTATTAGGTTGGAAACTAAGTTTTGCAACTGGTCTCATAACTTCCCTCTCACTCAACATGGTGCACTCAAATTTTGTCACTGTGTTGGCTATTACGGAAGCTACAAGAGCAGCTGCTGTTCTACCAAATTCTGACGTCGCCGTGAGGGTTACGGTAGGTGTATGGTATGAAGGGGAAAAGTTCAAAGTTTGACGTATTTGGCTGAAACTTGGCATAGGGATGTTATCCGACATGCTCATCACGAAACGATAGTGAAATTCCGTGATAAGGGCTTTTTTGTAAAATTACTGTAGGTGTGCGATATGGGGTCTCACCCTAAACAAGAAAAATAGCGTTAATTCAACAAATAAATATGATATTTGCGTTCGGCAGGTCAAGTAACCTTACTATGTGAAGTCTCGGCGGAGTTTGAGCTTCGGACTCTTTAGTCATTGACGGTCGTCCCTAGCAGCGCTTGCGTTCATCGACTCGTTCGACTTTGTGAAGACGCCAAATCTCGACATGCCCCTGGATTTTGTTTCTTTTTTAATAGACCAAAGAAGTCAACCTTCAGCAATAATTTGTAGACGAATCCGGATTACTGCGCATGGTATAGGCTGCTAAAGGCTTCATTTTAGTTTGAAACCCCAAAAATTCTCAAATTTCACTAGTTTTCGAAAAATGCGGAACTTTTCTATTCCGTGTTCAAAATTTAGACAATTTGTGCTCACTTGTAGCTGACATTGCCTTCTACATAATGCCAAAGTTTGAGTGCGCCATATCCAAAGAGAAAAAGCGCAAAACTTAGTTTCCAGCCCAATAAATATCTCCCTTGATCTGCGTTTGAATATAAGCAAAGAGGTTCGGCTTTAGTTGCTTCAACCATAGAAGGTACTTAACGCTTCCCACCTTTTCGTCATGCTACACTTTTATATGCTTTTTATCCACACTAATTTCTAATTTCTCGCCTTCACTGTGTTCCCACTTATCCCACACCTTCGCCCCCCCCCCTCCTTCATGTACCTATTTCTAGTGCTGTACCACAAAGTTTACAAACGATCTATAATTTCTATGAAGTGAACCAAAAATTTTAGACTACTCAAACGTTAGATTCGTGGCTGTTCGTAGCACTTTAACCCTTGGTGGTAACTCCAGCCCAAATTTTGCTAGATTTTGATTACACTGTATTAGCTGTCACATGCCACTCTGCCCGGCCCTGTTAAATGAAACGACAGAACTTTCGGGACAACCTAATATAAAAGGGCAATCACGAGGACTTTTACACAATCTTTAGCATATTGGCGTAATAACACTTTGTCACTATACCGACCATTTAAAAACACATGCAAATATAATTTTGTGGAAATGCAAAACATATGCGAGAGTGCAGATGCCAGTGCTACATATTGTAAAACGAAGGCATTAGTTTTCTTCGAAAAAATGGGCAGTATTGTGGAGCAGGTTTGATTTTATTACTACAGGTATTTTTCTTAAAGCAATCATCGGAAATTGAAACGCTACGAACACATCAAGCGACGCAATAAATACCACAAGATTTTGATAGTTTTTAGACCTACCGAGGAACACTACTCAAGCGATCACAACTCAGAAATGGACTACCACTGGCGAGGAGCGCACTGCCGTAACGACAACCGAAGAGGGCGAAACGAAGACGCGAACACCGTGGAGACCAGTGACACCAGAATATCCGACAACTGGAACCGTTGAAGAGACCACAACCGATGATGGTGGCCGAACGAACACGCAAACACCGTGGAGACCAGTGACACCAGAATATCCGACAACTGAAACCGTTGAAGAGACCACAACCGATGACGGTGGCCGAACGAAGACGCAAACACCGTGGAGACCAGTGACACCAGAATATCCGACAACTGAAACCGTTGAAGAGACCACAACCGATGATGGTGGCCGAACGAAGACGCAAACACCGTGGAGACCAGTGACACCAGAATATCCGACAACTGAAACCGTTGAAGAGACCACAACCGATGACGGTGGCCGAACGAAGACGCAAACACCGTGGAGACCAGTGACACCAGAATATCCGACAACTGAAACCGTTGAAGAGACCACAACCGATGATGGTGGCCGAACGAATACGCAAACACCGTGGAGACCAGTGACACCAGAATATCCGACAACTGAAACCGTTGAAGAGACCACAACCGATGACGGTGGCCGAACGAAGACGCAAACACCGTGGAGACCAGTGACACCAGAATATCCGACAACTGAAACCGTTGAAGAGACCACAACCGATGATGGTGGCCGAACGAATACGCAAACACCGTGGAGACCAGTGACACCAGAATATCCGACAACTGAAACCGTTGAAGAGACCACAACCGATGATGGTGGCCGAACGAAGACGCAAACACCGTGGAGACCAGTGACACCAGAATATCCGACAACTGAAACCGTTGAAGAGACCACAACCGATGACGGTGGCCGAACGAAGACGCAAACACCGTGGAGACCAGTGACACCAGAATATCCGACAACTGAAACCGTTGAAGAGACCACAACCGATGATGGTGGCCGAACGAAGACGCAAACACCGTGGAGACCAGTGACACCAGAATATCCGACGACTGAAACCGTTGAAGAGACCACAACCGATGATGGTGGCCAAACGCACACGCAAACACCGTGGAGACCAGTGACACCAGAATATCCGACAACTGAAACCGCTGAAGAGACCACAACCGATGACGGTGGCCGAACGAAGACGCAAACACCGTGGAGACCAGTGACACCAGAATATCCGACAACTGAAACCGTTGAAGAGACCACAACCGATGATGGTGGCCGAACGAACACGCAAACACCGTGGAGACCAGTGACACCAGAATATCCGACAACTGAAACCGTTGAAGAGACCACAACCGATGATGGTGGCCGAACGAAGACGCAAACACAGTGGAGACCAGTGACACCAGAATATCCGACAACTGAAACCGTTGAAGAGACCACAACCGATGACGGTGGCCGAACGAAGACGCAAACACCGTGGAGACCAGTGACACCAGAATATCCGACAACTGAAACCGTTGAAGAGACCACAACCGATGATGGTGGCCGAACGAAGACGCGAACACCGTGGAGACCAGTGACACCAGAATATCCGACAACTGAAACTGTTGAAGAGACCACAACCGATGACGGTGGCCGAACGAAGACGCAAACACCGTGGAGACCAGTGACACCAGAATATCCGACAACTGAAACCGTTGAAGAGACCACAACCGATGATGGTGGCCGAACGAAGACGCAAACACCGTGGAGACCAGTGACACCAGAATATCCGACAACTGAAACCGTTGAAGAGACCACAACCGATGATGGTGGCCGAACGAACACGCAAACACCGTGGAGACCAGTGACACCAGAATATCCGACAACTGAAACCGTTGAAGAGACCACAACCGATGATGGTGGCCGAACGAAGACGCAAACACCGTGGAGACCAGTGACACCAGAATATCCGACAACTGAAACCGTTGAAGAGACCACAACCGATTATGGTGGCCGAACGAAGACGCAAACACCGTGGAGACCAGTGACACCAGAATATCCGACGACTGAAACCGTTGAAGAGACCACAACCGATGATGGTGGCCAAACGCACACGCAAACACCGTGGAGACCAGTGACACCAGAATATCCGACAACTGAAACCGCTGAAGAGACCACAACCGATGACGGTGGCCGAACGAAGACGCAAACACCGTGGAGACCAGTGACACCAGAATATCCGACAACTGAAACCGTTGAAGAGACCACAACCGATGATGGTGGCCGAACGAACACGCAAACACCGTGGAGACCAGTGACACCAGAATATCCGACAACTGAAACCGTTGAAGAGACCACAACCGATGATGGTGGCCGAACGAAGACGCAAACACAGTGGAGACCAGTGACACCAGAATATCCGACAACTGAAACCGTTGAAGAGACCACAACCGATGACGGTGGCCGAACGAAGACGCAAACACCGTGGAGACCAGTGACACCAGAATATCCGACGACTGAAACCGTTGAAGAGACCACAACCGATGACGGTGGCCGAACGAAGACGCAAACACCGTGGAGACCAGTGACACCAGAATATCCGACAACTGAAACCGTTGAAGAGACCACAACCGATGATGGTGGCCGAACGAAGACGCAAACACAGTGGAGACCAGTGACACCAGAATATCCGACAACTGAAACCGTTGAAGAGACCACAACCGATGACGGTGGCCGAACGAAGACGCAAACACCGTGGAGACCAGTGACACCAGAATATCCGACAACTGAAACCGTTGAAGAGACCACAACCGATGATGGTGGCCGAACGAAGACGCAAACACCTTGGAGACCAGTGACACCAGAATATCCGACAACTGAAACCGTTGAAGAGACCACAACCGATGACGGTGGCCGAACGAAGACGCAAACACCGTGGAGACCAGTGACACCAGAATATCCGACAACTGAAACCGTTGAAGAGACCACAACCGATGATGGTGGCCGAACGAAGACGCAAACACCGTGGAGACCAGTGACACCAGAATATCCGACAACTGAAACCGTTGAAGAGACCACAACCGATGACGGTGGCCGAACGAAGACGCAAACACCGTGGAGACCAGTGACACCAGAATATCCGACAACTGAAACCGTTGAAGAGACCACAACCGATGATGGTGGCCGAACGAATACGCAAACACCGTGGAGACCAGTGACACCAGAATATCCGACAACTGAAACCGTTGAAGAGACCACAACCGATGACGGTGGCCGAACGAAGACGCAAACACCGTGGAGACCAGTGACACCAGAATATCCGACAACTGAAACCGTTGAAGAGACCACAACCGATGATGGTGGCCGAACGAAGACGCAAACACCGTGGAGACCAGTGACACCAGAATATCCGACAACTGAAACCGTTGAAGAGACCACAACCGATGACGGTGGCCGAACGAAGACGCAAACACCGTGGAGACCAGTGACACCAGAATATCCGACAACTGAAACCGTTGAAGAGACCACAACCGATGATGGTGGCCGAACGAAGACGCAAACACCGTGGAGACCAGTGACACCAGAATATCCGACGACTGAAACCGTTGAAGAGACCACAACCGATGATGGTGGCCAAACGCACACGCAAACACCGTGGAGACCAGTGACACCAGAATATCCGACAACTGAAACCGCTGAAGAGACCACAACCGATGACGGTGGCCGAACGAAGACGCAAACACCGTGGAGACCAGTGACACCAGAATATCCGACAACTGAAACCGTTGAAGAGACCACAACCGATGATGGTGGCCGAACGAACACGCAAACACCGTGGAGACCAGTGACACCAGAATATCCGACAACTGAAACCGTTGAAGAGACCACAACCGATGATGGTGGCCGAACGAAGACGCAAACACAGTGGAGACCAGTGACACCAGAATATCCGACAACTGAAACCGTTGAAGAGACCACAACCGATGACGGTGGCCGAACGAAGACGCAAACACCGTGGAGACCAGTGACACCAGAATATCCGACAACTGAAACCGTTGAAGAGACCACAACCGATGACGGTGGCCGAACGAAGACGCAAACACCGTGGAGACCAGTGACACCAGAATATCCGACAACTGAAACCGTTGAAGAGACCACAACCGATGATGGTGGCCGAACGAAGACGCAAACACCGTGGAGACCAGTGACACCAGAATATCCGACAACTGAAACCGTTGAAGAGACCACAACCGATGACGGTGGCCGAACGAAGACGCAAACACCGTGGAGACCAGTGACACCAGAATATCCGACAACTGAAACCGTTGAAGAGACCACAACCGATGACGGTGGCCGAACGAAGACGCAAACACCGTGGAGACCAGTGACACCAGAATATCCGACGACTGAAACCGTTGAAGAGACCACAACCGATGATGGTGGCCAAACGCACACGCAAACACCGTGGAGACCAGTGACACCAGAATATCCGACAACTGAAACCGCTGAAGAGACCACAACCGATGACGGTGGCCGAACGAAGACGCAAACACCGTGGAGACCAGTGACACCAGAATATCCGACAACTGAAACCGTTGAAGAGACCACAACCGATGATGGTGGCCGAACGAACACGCAAACACCGTGGAGACCAGTGACACCAGAATATCCGACAACTGAAACCGTTGAAGAGACCACAACCGATGATGGTGGCCGAACGAAGACGCAAACACAGTGGAGACCAGTGACACCAGAATATCCGACAACTGAAACCGTTGAAGAGACCACAACCGATGACGGTGGCCGAACGAAGACGCAAACACCGTGGAGACCAGTGACACCAGAATATCCGACGACTGAAACCGTTGAAGAGACCACAACCGATGACGGTGGCCGAACGAAGACGCAAACACCGTGGAGACCAGTGACACCAGAATATCCGACAACTGAAACCGTTGAAGAGACCACAACCGATGATGGTGGCCGAACGAAGACGCAAACACAGTGGAGACCAGTGACACCAGAATATCCGACAACTGAAACCGTTGAAGAGACCACAACCGATGACGGTGGCCGAACGAAGACGCAAACACCGTGGAGACCAGTGACACCAGAATATCCGACAACTGAAACCGTTGAAGAGACCACAACCGATGACGGTGGCCGAACGAAGACGCAAACACCGTGGAGACCAGTGACACCAGAATAT